TGGATCTATAAAAATGAAACAAAACAATTTTATTCAAATCTTTTTATTAAATTATTCAAAATACTCTCCTCCTGCTTCAATACACTTTTTACAGTGATTCAATAGTGATTCAAATGCCTGCTCAAACTCAATTTTCGGTATTGCCTCTAATATGCGCGTAGACTCTCTTTGGATGGTTTCAATATCATTAAAAATGCGTCCTTTCAACTTCATTTTCATTTTTGGAAATAAAGAGAAGTCACATGGTGCTAAATCGGGGGAATACGGCGAATGATTCAACACACAGACTTGATTTCGTGCCAAAAATTGACGAACAATCAATGATGTGTGACTCGGTGCATTATCGTGTAACAAACACCAGTCATCAGAATTGCGATATTCTGGTCGAATTCGACGAATTCTTCCCATTAATCGTTGTAAAACTCCCAAGTAGAAAGCAGCAGTAACTGTTTGACCCTGTGGGATGAACTCACGGTGGATGATGCCTTTGCTATCGAAGAAAACAATGAACATCGTCTTGATTTTTGATGGAACTTTTCGTGTTTTCTTGGCTTGAGGTGATGATAAACACTCACTTCCATACACTTTCTGCATCATTTTGAACGTTTCTGTGGCACTTGTGCCAAGTTTAGCGTGAAATTTAATAACAGCATGTTGTTCCATTATTGTTTGCCGACATGTAACAAAATAAACTGATAAACAAAATATCAAAAACAATGATAAATGTCAACCGATTTAAATAAAAGTTTTAGGTTAGTAGCGACATCTGTTCAAACTTCATTTGACATAAAATTTAAACAGATGTCGGTACTGGTTGCTGAGATATAGCTTCAGTCCCGGAATTTAATTGCTGCACTGTGTATATATAAAAGCTCCAAAGAAGACAGCCAGAGTTATTACAACAGGAAAGGAAGGCACTCTATCCTGTTGCAAATATTCTGTGATTCAGAAATGCAAATTTTTGATGCATTTGTTGCTTGGCCTGGCAGTGCCAATGATTCTTAGGTTTGGCAGCAGAGTCCTATTTATAATATGTTTTTGAATGAATTTTCAAAGTATTTAGAACATAACTATTATTTACTTGGAGATTCAGCATATTCATTAGATACATTTTTAATTGTACCATATAAAGATTTATGGTAATCTTACTGTGAAACAAAAAAATTTTAACAGAAAACACAGTTCTATCAGAGTTGTGGTAGAACAAACTATAGGTCTACTAAAAGGATGATTTTGTTGACTGAAATATCTGGATATGGAAAACATTTCGTCAATATCTAAAGACATAATGACTTTGTGTATATTGCACAATTTGTGCATTAATCAAGATGACATTGACTGTACAGAGGATACATTTGTTGATGATGATAATGAACCTGCAGAAAACCTGATTACAAGAAATCCGCAGCTGTACAGCTGCAGAAGTAAAACGTAATCAATTAGCAGATGTATTGATGCAAAATTGAACTGTGTTTATTAAAAATATAATTTACAATTGTCTTGTAGTTAAATTAGTAAATGTAAAGAATAGTTTTATACAATCTGTTGTCAGTGTTCTTAATATGTTTATCACGAATTCACTCATCTATCAAATGAAGGGCTCCCTGTATAAACATCACAACCAACAAATGTCTTTTTCACAAGAAGCTAAAAATTGCTTCATGCTTTTTCTATGTTCATATTTTAAAATTTGCTTATTTACACTTGTTGACTTTAAGTTAGATTATTTAAATTCAAAAGTAGGGAAAAAATTACTTTTATTGAAAATTTTTTTCTTATTTTGGTCTAAAAACATATGTATAATATTCTTATTGAATTAAATTTTTGCAGAAGTATAAAATGAATTTGTAATTTTACACAGAGGCCATTAAAGACAATAAATTGGGCTAAGATTCAAAATACTCAACATTACTGTCATTCTGATGAACAAAGGATGAAAATACAAAATTAGGCATTTTCTAAGGCTTAAACCTTTGGGAATCCAAGAAATAAGTTACAACACACACAGCTGTTGAGAGCTTGTATGGGGTCTGAGAATAGAATCCCTCTTGCCATTTTTTGAATAAATTAAACACAATGCTTCTTTATTAATAAAAAAGGAGTTTTAAAGATTTTTATTTTCTAATTAAAATGCCTCAATGTCCTTTTTTTCTTACTAAAATGTAAATTTTCAACTATAAATTCGTATCTTCTATTATCAGACTTATTATACTGGCTTTACAGATAATGCTACAAAGTTTAACAGAAAACAATTTTTTATTTTATTCCATATACCTGGACACATATGTAATTTTGCATTTCAGACATATTTGTCCCTCCTCAGTAGGTATTTCTGTATATTCTATAACGAAAAGAAAACTAAAAATAAGAATAAATGAACACATCCGAGCAATCGAGAAATTATGCAGATTCAGTAGTTGCGGAGCATTGTAATAATACAGGTTGTGAAATAATATTGAATTCCGTAAAAATAAAGAAAAAAAGAAAAGAATAATTACAAAAGAAACTTTATGAACATATTTATATAATGAGACAAAATAATAGAATAAATGACAATACTGGTAGAGAAATGCACCAATCATGGCTAAGATTCATAGAAAAAGGGGTGTGTCTAAAAGATAAAAAGAACAATCGAAAGAAATAGAAACGAGGTGTGTGTCAAATGTAAGTTGTAATAATAGTAAACAAATGTAAAAAAATTGAGATAATGTTAATATAATATTGTTTAATACAGGTTTAAAATCATAGTAATTCTGTTTTTGTTGGTAAAATTTGAATATCCAGTTGAGCTAAAAATAAAGGAAAAATTGGAAAATTATAAGAATTAAATAATTTTGTCAGGAAATTTTAAATGTAAATTTTAAATATTTGTTTTATTGTTTATAGAATATACAGAAATACCTGCTGAGGAGGGACAAATATGTCTGAAATGCAAAATTATGTATGTGTCCAGGTATATGGAATAAAATAAAAATTATTTTTTGTTAAACTTTGTAGCATTATTTGTAAAGCCAGTATAATAAGTCCTGATAATAGAAGATACAAATTTATAGTCAAAAATTTAAATTTTTATTTTCTGTTAATAAAAATGTTAATAAAAACATTTTATTTAAATTTATTTTTTTTCTTAGTTTTATTGAACAATATTTAAAATATTTTTTTAAATGCTTAATTTTTCTTTTTCAATTTCTTCCAGCATTGTTCATCAGCCTCCTCTTGTTTCTTTATATAGTCCTGAAACCATTTGGAAGGCTTGTCTTTGGATGGATATTCTTTTTTTTTTTTTTTGGTTGGTGGTGCTTGTATATTCTCCAAGCAATCTTCTGAAGTACAGGCATCACATATCTCAACATCATTTTCCTCAGTTGCCAAGGATAATGATGATGATAATGTATCAGGAGGAGGATTGACATTTGCTTTTGAAGTGAGGAAAGTGTCCAGGTCATCATGAAATTCTCAAAAGGGAACTTGGCCACCTCCAGATTGTTTCATTTGATCTTTCCTCCTCCTGTACATCAGCATTAAATTTCTCCACTTCCTGTTGGCCTCTATTGCTGTTATACCAAAGCCTTCATTTCTTAGACTTTGGCTTATTCGGACCTATAATTTTATTTTTTTGCAACTTGGGGCCATATTCTGGTCACTGTCTCTGGTCTCTTGTCTCTTACAAGCCGGTCGCTGATTGGCTAATCCAAATGATTAGCCAATCAGCGATTGGCTTGCGAGAGATGAGAGACCAGAGACAGTGACCAGAATATGGCTCTTGGACTCAGAAACTGCAAGTCATTTCTCTGCAAAACTATAAGCTTTTTTATAGAGGCAGTGGTCCATATAGTTTCCTATAAAATATTATATTTTCATTAGCTTGTTGATAACTATATAGATTCTCTAATTATTAAGTTTTCAGAAACTTACTCTAAAGACTATTCACAAAAAAATTTCAAACTTAAAGTATTTTATCATAAATATATTAAATGTATAAATTAATAAAATGAAGGGTTTTATTTAAGGATAACATATCTTGTTTTCTTAGAAATAACTGCTTCATAATGTAAGCTATGATTTTTTAAACTCATAAAATATGTCATAAGAAAATATGAGGTGTATCTGAAAAGTAAAGATACATTGCATGTAAGCAGAAAGCTAATATTTCAGTGCATAAGTTGACAACAGTCAATTTGACCTGGAATCTTTCATGGTCTTTTTGTGGTAGTCATTGCTACATTGAGTCTGGTTCAAGTAGCACATATATATAATGGCTGTACTGATTCAGAATCCTGTCAAATGTGAAGTGTTATCCATCATATGTTTTCTCAATGCAAAAGATGAGCACTCAGCAGATATTCACAAACAAATTGTTTCCATTTATAGTAACATTTTGAATAAAAAAAAATGCAAGAAAGTAGTGGTGTGCATTCTCTGGAGGCAGGACCAATGTTTGTGATGAACACAGGAGTGGTAGGCCATCTGTGATCTCTGATGAACTTCTTTAAAGAACTGAGGGAGCAAATCATGCAAACTGGCATCTCACAGTAAGAGAATTCATGAAATCATTCCAGAAGTGTCTAAGTCCACCTTCCATGAAGCTATGATTGTAACATTAGAGTATAGGAAATTGTGTGCATGCTGGGTACCCAAAATGTTAATGGACAACACAAAATGAAACGGATGGACTTTGCATTTGACTTCCTCACACTCTATGCACATGCAGGAAATGAGTTCTTCGACCACATTGTGATGGGCGATGAAACTTGGATGTACCACCATACTCCTGAATCTAAGCAACAATTTCTGCAATGGCACCATATGCATTCCCCAAAACCCAAGAAATTCTAAACTTCAATTTTTGCAAAAAAAAATTATGGCTTCTGTGTTCTGGGACAGAAAAAGCATTCTTCTGATTGACTTCATGCCACCTGGTACCATAATTAATGCTACTGCATATTGTGAAGCCTTACAATGCCTTTGATGGGCCATTCGAAACAAACGGAGGGGAATGTTGACAACTGGTGTCTACCTGCTTCGTGACAATGCTCAGGATCACACAGCGATTGCCACCAAGCTTCTCAATTGATTCAAGTGGAAAGTGTTTGATCATCTGCCATACAGTCCAGACCTTGCTCCCAGTGACTTCCACTTGTTTTTTTTTTATCTAAAGAAACATCTTGCAGGACAACACTTCCATAATGATGATGAGATCAAAAATGAAGTTGAAATGTGATTCCAGTAACAAGCAGTAGAGTTCTACAATCCTAGGATATAGAATCTAGTACCCAAACTTAACAAGTGTTTAGACAATGGCAGCAATTATATAGAAAAATAATGCATGTTCCAGTAAATAAGGTGTAAGTGATGTTTGGTCAAATAAAAATGTTTTGAATGAATACTAGTCATTGTACTTTTCAGACATGCCATTTACATTTAAGTATAACAAATTGTCCCAGAGAAAAGTTTTATCATCATACTTATTTTTCTTTGCATTATGCTTTTATCTTTTTAATAGATGTAATTTGTCTGTAATAGTTGTAAATATCAAAGCTTACTCAATGTTTGATGTCAAGAATACTGTAAATCCTTATTACTGAATGTAAACTTTCTTGGATAATAGAGAAATTACTTTATAATTATAGAATATCCTTACAGAGTTAATTTTACTTACTGTTTTTAATATTTTATTTCAGCAATGTGTCAATAGACAACTACCAATGCCATCTATTTTTGTTCATCCAAGTCTTCCTGATTTATTGGTTATTAATTGCCCTCCTGTTACAAATCAAAAAGAACCTAATAAACATGAAGTTATTGTTGGATGTGAATGTGGTATGTCAGTACTTCGTGGTGCTGATGTGTATGCACCAGGTGTTATTGCTTGTCCACATGGTATGTCTAGAAATAACTAATTATAAATTACATATAATAATGAACATGTAAATGATTTAGATCATATTTTAAATGTTTGTTTATAGGTTTAAAAGTTGGAGATAAAGTTGCAATTTATGCAGATATAGATAATACTTGTAGAAGAGGTTTTGTAAAGCCTTTTCTAGGAAGAAAAAAATTTGTTGGAAATGGTGTTTTGATTGTAAATAGACAGCAAATATTTTGTGTAGAAAAACCTTAGTAAGTGTAGTTATAATAATTATTTAAAATACAATAGTTCCATACTTTTTATTTTAGTAGAAATAGTTAATCTTTTATGTGAAAGTGTATTTATTCATTAATTCAGAAAACAATGACAATATTTGCTCATAATATTAACAAATAAGATAAAAAATTTGTTGGAAAGGACTTAAACTTATAATTCAGAAAAATTGTTTTAGTTAATTTTTACATTATTATATTTTATTGGTATTTTAATTATGTCTAGAAATAACTAATTATAAATTACATATAATAATGAACATGTAAATGATTTAGATCATATTTTAAATGTTTGTTTATAGTATATAGTAGTATATACTATATATAGTATATAGTATATAGTATATAGTAGATAATGTAAATATTTGTGATATTTACATTATCACAAATGTAAATATGGTAAATAAACAGCAAGATATCACTATAATATTTGAATTATCAAATGATAAATAATGCACTGTTTTTAGACTATGCAAATGAAAAAAGTATCAAATATTATACAATGTGTTTATATAGTCAACAAAAAAAAATTATTGGAATGACAAATTTTTCAGTTTTAACAGATGAAATAAAAAAGTACAGTTCAAAACTTTCTAGAACTTATATTATATATTACAAAACATATTCTACAAGGTGTCTCAAAAGTCTCCATATAGTGACATAAATCAAGCCCACCAGTGGCCAAATAAATAAAACCATTGAACACTTGTAGTTGGTCATTGGTTCATGCCTGACCAATGGGCTGGCCACCATGCAATGTTCTGGGTTTTATTCATGTGTCTAACACCTAAACAGAATCCAGTTTCCACATAGGAAGTCCTGCTAAAAGTTAACCTCATTGGCAGATCACCCATGTGTTCCATTGCATTACTCCATCAATCTACTGACACAAATCTTAATGCTGACATTTTAGTGTTTTGTGAATAAAGTTACATTTTATCTTTGTATGTATAGAAACTTTTGGGATACCTTGTATATTTATATACATTTATTTCTATTTTAAAATAAATACAATCTTCAAGAAAACATCAGAAAACAAAACACCATTGAAAACTATGCAAAAAAATTATTGACATGATACTGATTTCTTTGTTTTTATTTTTTGTAAAAGGGAAACAGTGCAATTATTTGCAAAAATAATTTATTGTTAAAAGGTAATTTACAATTTTAAGTCCCTTTGTTTTATGTATCTCTGTAAAAAATATGAGTGATTTAATGACATTAAAAATTGTCTTTAGATAATTTGAACATAGCATGTCCTTGGGTAAAATTGATGAAAACCTTGGAATGCCTGTCTTCTGTCAGAAATATTGTTAGTAAGTTTAAATCCACTGGGAAAGTAGAAAATAAGACAGGAAGAGGAAGAAAGAGAAAAACAAATTCAGCACAGGACAAAGTGATTGAGAAATGATGTTGTTTTAAGTGCAGTTAAAATAGTCAACGAATTGGAAATAGAAGATAATATCAAGGTTATACCTCAAACTGTTTAAAGTAGATTGCATGAGTCTCCACTTTGAATAGTCCAAGCATAACTCTATGAAAATATCATGCTACAGTTGCTTGGAAGAAACCATGGATAAGCAAACAAAACAAGAAGAAATTGCTTGTTTGGACTAAAAAGTATCTTTAATCTCAAGTATCTAGAGCAGGGATGTCCAACCCACAGCCCATGGGCCACACTGCGGCTCACTTAATATTTTTATGCAGCCCACTGCACCCTAATGTTTTTAGGTACGTTTACATTTATTTTGGTAAAGTACGCAGTGGTGTACCGTGGGTGTCAGCCGCCCGGGACGGAGGAAAATTTCGGCCCCCTTATTTAGGTATTTCAATTTAAAAGACCAAAATTCAGTTTCGTCACAGAACAAGCAATGAAAAATTCAGTGGTAGTGCAGCTACCTGTTTAAAATAGTTCTATTGGATATTAGTGGTGTATATGAATGCGAATGAATCGTACAAGCAAAAAAAAAAAGATCAACAGGTTTCACAGGAATTCCTCGGATGAAAAAGTTACTAGTTCACCCGGCGAGCCAATTCCCGGACTGTCCAGATGATAGCACTATCGCAGGTGCGATGCAAGTATAGATTAGGATGTTTCAAATTTTTACAAGATATTATTATTATTTATTGTGAAATTTTGCCGCCCCCTAAAAAAGTGCCACCCGGGGCGGGCCACCCCTGCCGCTTCCACTACGGTACGCCACTGAAAGTACGTTATAAAAATTATTCTCATTTCACTGGATACACTTTGATATTGTAATGACATTATTGGTGCTAGAAAATTGTTTTATTTAGAAAACTGTTATTCGTGTGGGGTAGTACATATCATTGTGAACAATTCTTTTCATGCATGAAAAACATCGAAACTGCTAAAATAAATAAGTTGAATGATTCCCATTTAATTAATATGTTTTAGAATTAAGACTACTACCATAAATGCAGATATTGACAATATTATAAAAGGAAAGCAATGTCAAAAATCTCATTGAATTTATTTTTATTTTGTTTGAGTATAATTTTATTTACTGTCAATAATACAGTACTTTTTGTAATTATATATATTTGTTATTAAAATTTGATATTCATATTTTGAACTTTCTAAAAGCATATATTTATATAAGGTACCTTTGTGGCCGATTGAATATAAGTAAATTTCTAATTTGGCCTTTAAGGAAAAAAAGTTGGACAACCCTTATCTAGAGTCTAGTTATGTTTTGGAATCATGTTATTTGGTCTGACAAAAGCAAATTTAACCTGTTTGTACACAATAAAGTGCTAAAAAGTTTGTAGAAAAACAGGAGAAGCATTTAATCAAATGTGTATTAGATCAACTGTGAAATATGGAGGTGGTTTGGTGACAGTATGTGTATGTGAGAAGCAAAGGAATTGGAAACCTGGTGTTTATTGATGAGACCATGAGAAAAGAATAATACTTAAAAATATTGCATGAAAATCCTTTTACTTCAGCCATTAAATTAAGACTAGAAACAAATTTTTTTGTCTTTCAATGTGACAATGATCCAATACATACAACCAAGGTAGTGAAAGAATATTTGAAATCTCAGAATGTTATCACTTTGGATTGGTGTGGATCTAAATCCCATTGAACATCTATGGGAAGAAATAGAAAAAAAATTAACCAAAAGACATCAAAAAGCAAAGATGAGTTGAAACAGATGATACAATTGGCATGGAATGAAATTGACCCTAAAGTCTATGAAAACTAGTTACAAATATGCCTCATCATTGCAATGCAATTATTAAAAAAAAAGGAGTCTCTACAAAGTACTAAAAAGTTTCAATATGACAAAATTATTTACTTGTATTTTGTTTTGTGATGTTTTTGAAGATTGTATTTATTTTAAAATAGAAATATAGAATATAGTTTGTAATATATGATATATGTTTTAGAAAGTTTTAAACTGTACTTTTTTTGTTTCTTCTATTAAAAGTAAAAAATTATTAGTATCTCGGTAATCAAACTGTTCTCAACTCAAATAATTCAGTATTCCAACACAAATTCCAAGAGAAAAAGATCATTTGGTCCTAAATTGAATGAATGCAACCCGCTAGAATACATTTTCAATTAATATATTTTTATTTTGCCATACATAAAAAATTTTATGGTAAAAATAAAAAAATATGAAGATGTTGCTGATATTTCTGATCTAGATCAACAAAGCTCAGACAATGATGATACTTTATAAAAAGAAAATGCTCTTGCTTAAAAAAAATTATTAGTTTAATTAGTAAATTAGTTTAAGAATTTAAACTTGTGGGCTCTTAGCCACTAGAGACATAGACATTAGAATTATTCAAACATTTAGAATGTTTGGGCATTCTAAATTTGAATCTTGTATTTCTAGAGAGGACTAGTTTTCAGCCACTACGACATAAAACATTCCATTTAAACTATTTCTGTTAATTTATTATAGTTACAAGTTATCGTTTTTGTTACTTTAATTAGTTTTTGTGTTATTTTGATTAAAACTTTGTGTAAAGTGTCTTCATCAAAATAAACATTTTTTTTTTAATCCTGAACTATTACAATAAATATACAGGTATCCCTTGTATAACATGGTAGTTATGTTCCGAAAAAGTGTCGTGTTAGGCAAATTCATGCTATACGAAACTAAGGAACTATACAAAACAAAGGGGTTACGTTCCAAAAGTTAGCAAAAGTATACAAGTTTTTTGTTACTAAGAGAAATATGATTATTAATGCAATTAATAATTCATTTCTAAATAATAATTAATTAACAATTACAATTAAAAGTACTGTATTACTTGTTAAAAATAGTTTTGGTTAAGCAAGGGCATTTTCTTTTTATAAACTATCAGCATTGTCTGAGCTTTGTCGATCTTGATCAGAAATATCAGCAACATCTTCATATTTTTTATGTATGGCAAAATAAAAATATATTAATTGAAAATGTATTCTAGCGGGTTGCATTCATTCAATTTAGAACCAAATGATCTTTTTCTCTCAGAATTTGTGTTAGAATACTGAATTATTCGAGTTGAGAACAGTTTGATTACCAAGATACTACCATATTTTGTTTATAATTTTTACAAATGATTACTTAACTATGGTTAAAAAAATGTTAATAACTAGCCTTTACTAACTTTTAATATGCAATCTATTTTATTAACGTAACCTAATAAATTTTTGATCAAATTAATTGACTTTCATCAGGATTGAACAAACAATTTTTTGATTTATGACAAATGAAACCGATTATAGAATGTTTTAACTTTAAATGCTTTCTCAGTGCTTATTGCGCAAGTCTGAAAATAAATAAATACAATCTACGGATTGATAATGTACAAATATATGCATATACCAACACACAAAAATACAAATTAATAATAATAAAGAAATAGATGCTGTAACTGGCTTCTACTAATATCTGTCCATGGTGCTTTTTTCTTTATGCTGATACATTCATAATGCACCTGCTTTCCATGCTGCAGATACTTTATATGATTCTTTGAAATTTATAGCCTGCTTTGCTAGACTGCTCTTATAAATATGAGAAGTGCAGTTTGAGAAGAGTGTATGATAAAAAGGTTAATAGCACTTACCTAAAAATGTTTAAATGAACTTTACTGTGAGATATTCTGGACTTTGGTCGACCCTGTCACACGTTCGTGATGACTTATTAATCTGAATAATCAGTAAGATCTCTGAGTCAGGATTCATGACACCACTTGGTCAATTCCACTGACTAAGACACAAGTGAAATTATAAATCTGTTTTCGGAATTCATAGGAGGGTTTATTTTTAATGTAAGACAATGGAGTTAGGCATAAAGAAATGAATGAGATAATAATTAAAAGATATATTTAATGAAATAATCAAGATCCTCTATATACATTTATAATGAGAACTAAATCAAATGATTAAAACATATTAAAATGATAAAATATCTAATTACAATCCTTCCTATTTAAAGGAAACTCAAATTAATACCTCACTAAATAAATCGTTATGCAGAGAGAGAGTTTACATAATTATATTACCTTAATATAAACACACATAAAAACCTTTACTTGACCAGTAAAAATATATTTAATGAAAACAACTAACGTTTTCGACTGCTTTCTCAGTCTTCCTCAGGTTTTAAATTCTGATATTCGAAAATCGTTGTGCTTAAATATTTAAACATTTTGGAACTGGCCCACTTATTATGCTATACCTCGTTTTTTAGGTTCAACAACAAAACGTATCTACAGAAACGCGGGGTCCCTATGGGCAGCCCAATATCGGGGGATTTATGTGAATTAGTCGTTAGACAACTGGAACAAAAAATCATACCTATGTATAGTTCCAACATACTTATTTATAAAAGGTACGTTGATGATATCTTTATTATGTGGAAGGCTAAACCANCTGGATTACTGAGTGTCTAGATCTAATGCCTACATAAAAGCAGTGAATGACATGACCTGTGGAGTGTTTATTCTGGAGATCTAGTTTTAGTAATACATATAAGAAGTGTTATGGTGCTGCTCAGCAATATATTTTGCAGCACCACAGTTGCAAATCACTGGTGTAGGCAATCATTGGAAGATGTGCCAGATAATTAAGGACCAGATTAGCAAGACTCCGCTGTACTAATGTAAATAAAAATCATTTTAATTTTTATAAACTTAAAAACATTAAAAATTCTCAACTATATTATTATATTGTAATGTTTTCAGTCTTCTTAATTAACCTTCTTTAAGAGATATTTGAATTTTACAATTTAAAAAGAACAGTTTTTTTTTTAATTGTAAAATTCTAGTGTTAATGCTAGTGCAGTTATGGAAAGGAGAATACAGTGTAATAATGAAATACTAACCTTTAGCTTCAGCTATTTTAACTTTTCAGCTTCATTTGAACATTTTAGCTTCTTACTTTTATTGTATTGTATTTGAAATTTTTACATACAAATATTTGACTTTATTGATAATTTTCAGACATTACAAAAGATCTTTGGTTACTAAATTTTTTTCATTAAAATATATTTAAAAATATCTGATTTTTTTAGAATCTGTTATATAAATAAAATTAATATTTAATTATATCCAAAGATTATTTACTTTGCTTCTGACTCAGAAGCAAAGAAAATAAATTGCTTTTAAAAATTAATTATTTTATTCCTATTTACACCTAAATTGTAAACACATATTTTCATTTTTAGTGGACTAGCAATAAAAATTGATGAACCATTGTATAATTGTTGGTCATTTAAAGATATTCTTCCTGAAGATTTTTTTCTCCAGAATCTTCCGTCTGTTCTTTGTAGCCATGTTTTAGCTCCGAAACCTGGAGATTACGTATTAGATATGTGTGCAGCACCAGGTAAGTTTATTATTATGTATATAAAAACTACTCAGAATAGTGGCACACTCAGGATTTAATTTTGAGAGAGCCAAGTTGAACAGTTAAAAACATTTTTAATATAAATTCAATAAAATTCCCACATTTGTGACTGCTAATTCATAAGTATGAGATGACGTGCAGTCTTCCATGTAAGAGTTGAGCTGATGTCTTGAGGAGAGTATATTGAACTATATGACTGGATGTCATAAGTCCAAACTTGCCTTGTAAAGGTCAAGTAAGCTGAGCTAAGTTGAACTGAGTTAGTTACTAGCTACTAGCTGACGTTTACCTATCACCTTTTATAAGAAATCACCTCCAATCAAATCTTTTAAAATAAGCCCTACATGATTTTGATGTGTAACAAAAGTTGGGCAGTTTTGCAGATAGTGTGTGTGAAATTGTATGCTAAACTATCACTTACAAGGGAAGTGATGTTATTCTTTTCTTTACAGAAAGGATGTTCTTTTTTCAACTTTGTACAATTTTTACAAAACAGATAAAATTCTCTCTATTAATGTTATATAATTTAACAAATTAAATTATTAAACTTGGATTTGCACATTACTAAATACAAAGATTAATCTATAAAAACAAAACATAGTGACAGTCTTAGAGACTAAAGTCTGAAAGCAACAATAACGACACCTGGCTGATAGGAAAGCCATGACAAGAAAGAAAACAATTGCACTATCAGTTTTCATTAAACTGATGAAAAACAAAATAAATTGAAAATTTCAATATTGTAAAGTTTATGGACAAATTTGAGATAACACACATGCTTACTTGAATAAAAAAAATATTGAATAAAGGAGTTTGCACTTAAAAGTTGTGAAATTTTGTACAGAGGATTTCCCAAACCATGTTTAGAAGTGCTGTGTTGTATGAGGGATACCTGTATACAGGCATACCTCGACTTACGTCGGTTTCGAGTTACGTCGTTCCCGATTATACGTCGCTTGTTAAAAAAGTATATGGAAAAATAAAAACTCGACTTACGTCGGTTTCGAGTTACGTCGTTCCCGATTATACGTCGCTTGTTAAAAAAGTATATGGAAAAATAAAAATCAAGTTTAAGTCATTTTATTCGACTTTACGTCTGTCCGCCACAAATATTGAAGTCGTAATATCACTAGATAAACGTTTAAAGCACATAAAATCATATTAAAATATATACAAGTATGTACTGTATTTACAGTACACGCATTCGTAAATTTAGATTACTTTTTTTTTACTATATTAAAAACTAAAATTTATTTGTTTGTAAGCTTAAAATAGATTTTTATTAACCATATATTATTTAAAATGCTTTCCTAGTGATAAGTAGATTCGGAGACAGGTAAATTCGACTTACGTCGTTTTTCGACTTACGTCGTTTTCCTGGAACCAATTAACGACGTAAGGCAAGGTATACCTGTATTTATTTATTTATTCACACAATAAACTTCACATAAATATGATGACTAAAAGATTTGTTAAATTTTTATTGTATAATGTGGTCTGTTTTTAGAATGAAGAAAAAGCTACAAATATATTCTTGGTAAATTAATGATTAGTTAAAAGTTGATATTACAACTCATTTATTTGCTATATGTAAAGAACAAAGATCTAATTTTCTTTACTTAAAAACTTTAATACAAATCACTATTTATTAGTCTGAAAAACTTATTGAGTTTTTAAAATAAAATAGATATTATACATAAATTATTTTATATTTAGATGTCTTAGCTTTAAGCTGCAAGAACAGGAGAATTTTTTATTCAGCATCAAAAAAAATTTGATATAAAAATTTTTTATTTGTCTTTAATGTGTGTTTATTCAGTTAATGTAACATATAATATTGTATTTTCTATCTTGAAAATTTCAATTATAATATAATATTAGCAAAACATTGAAATAAAAAAAAATTAATTTGTAAAGTGTTTAAATTTATTTATTCTGAATTTTTCCAACAGTTAGGTTCTTTTGCATTATTTTAAAAATATAATTGTGAATTTTTATTTTTGTTTTCTTATACAGAATATAATTTTTATTTAGTTCTGTTATAGATTTAGTTAATATTTCAATAATTTCCTTTATAATTCATAATAAAACTGTTTAATAATAAAGTGTAGATTCTTGCTAATCTGGCCATTCCTTGCACATAAGCACACTGGATTACTGAGTGTCTAGATCTAATGCCTACATAAAAGCAGTGAATGACATGACCTGTGGAGTGTTTATTCTGGAGATCTAGTTTTAGTAATACATATAAGAAGTGTTATGGTGCTGCTCAGCAATATATTTTGCAGCACCACAGTTGCAAATCACTGGTGTAGGCAATCATTGGAAGATGTGCCAGATAATTAAGGACCAGATTAGCAAGACTCCGCTGTACTAATGTAAATAAAAATCATTTTAATTTTTATAAACTTAAAAACATTAAAAATTCTCAACTATATTATTATATTGTAATGTTTTCGGTCTTCTTAATTAACCTTCTTTAAGAGATATTTGAATTTTACAATTTAAAAAGAACAGTTTTTTTTTTAATTGTAAAATTCTAGTGTTAATGCTAGTGCAGTTATGGAAAGGAGAATACAGTGTAATAATGAAATACTAACCTTTAGCTTCAGCTATTTTAACTTTTCAGCTTCATTTGAACATTTTAGCTTCTTACTTTTATTGTATTGTATTTGAAATTTTTACATACAAATATTTGACTTTATTGATAATTTTCAGACATTACAAAAGATCTTTGGTTACTAAATTTTTTTCATTAAAATATATTTAAAAATATCTGATTTTTTTAGAATCTGTTATATAAATAAAATTAATATTTAATTATATCCAAAGATTATTTACTTTGCTTCTGACTCAGAAGCAAAGAAAATAAATTGCTTTTAAAAATTAATTATTTTATTCCTATTTACACCTAAATTGTAAACACATATTTTCATTTTTAGTGGACTAGCAATAAAAATTGATGAACCATTGTATAATTGTTGGTCATTTAAAGATATTCTTCCTGAAGATTTTTTTCTCCAGAATCTTCCGTCTGTTCTTTGTAGCCATGTTTTAGCTCCGAAACCTGGAGATTACGTATTAGATATGTGTGCAGCACCAGGTAAGTTTATTATTATGTATATAAAAACTACTCAGAATAGTGGCACACTCAGGATTTAATTTTGAGAGAGCCAAGTTGAACAGTTAAAAACATTTTTAATATAAATTCAATAAAATTCCCACATTTGTGACTGCTAATTCATAAGTATGATAGAAATAAAAGACATGACACAATATAAATAAAAAATGAATTTTAATTAGGAAAATATTTTTGGAAAATCTTCTGTGTTTGTTTTTCCTTTTTTTTTTTTTTTTCTGGAGGGTGCCAGGGCCCTTTGGCCCTCCATCTTGGTGTGCCACTGACTCAGAATTGATTTGCATAAAATATTTAATAATGAAAATTTATAAAATTTTGAGAAATATAAATTTTTAATCATTTTTTAAATACAGCTTTAAATTTGATAATTTTGTATTCCTTTTTCTTCCCTTAAATGTACATATAGTTTGTTAAAAGAAAATTTTGTTTATTTAATAAAATAAGTTTATAATTTTGAATTATTAATAAAATAGTGAGTAAAGTTCTAATTAAGTTGTAACAAACTTATCATAGCAGTTAGTTAAGTTCAATAGTTAAAAATATAATAAATCAACATATTTAATCAACAATCCATATCAAATGTTTATTTTATCACTTTATGCAGTTAAGCATTATATTTAATGATTTTCAAAAGTACATCCACTCCCCACTCCTCACTTAATGACAGAGTAATGATAGGAATAAGAATTCCTATGACTAGATTGTTAAATAAATTGGTCATTAAATGAGGAGCTTAATCATTTTTATTTATTATAATAAAGAAATGATCTAAAGGACCTCCAGCTTGATAACTTTGTTTTAATTTGCATTTCTTACCTATTATAGAACATAAAAGTACAGTCAGCAAAGATTATAAAAATGAGTTACTAAAAATATTGAAGTTCATTCATAAAAAAAGACATGCAGATTAATATTTTAGTCATTGAATCCTTCAGATGGGATACACAATAAAGTACAACTTTATAAACAAAATATGTAGTCTTGGAGATAGTGAATGCTTTATGTAGTGAATACTGACAGACTGTGGGAACTAGACTGATTAAGAGAGGAGATTCCTTATGTTGGAGAGCTGTGGGGTGATACTGAATAAGTGAAGAGTGTATGGAGTGCTTATCAATATCCAGGCAGAGAGACCTGTCAGTATGGAATATGCTTAAATAATAATGCAGCACTCACAATGTTGTGGCAGGCTCATTACCAACTGGCTCAGTAACTTTTCTAGTTATCACCATTGGAAATTGTGTTCATTCTTAAGTTTTGGACAAATATATATTTTCATTTTAATGGAAATGAGTATATACTCATCTTTTCATCAGTTAGTTAATTGCTTAATGAATTTCGAACAAGATTTTGTTGAAACTTATGAAAGATTGACATAAGATTTTTTTTCTTTCTTGATAAACTTTCAAAATCACCATGAAAGTATATATGATGTCTTAGAAATTTATGTATAAAAATTTAGAAATCACCATAAATTGCTTTATTGAACATTGAAAAATATCATGTTATTTTTTAAACATAATTCCAGAAATGCATTCATTAAGACATTTTTGTTACAAAATTGTTAAAAAATTAGAACATAGATTGATTAAAATTAGAAAATATTTTTATTTAATTGCTATAAAAATAAAGTATTAGATTTGTTGATATTTGTATTTTCGTAATATGTATTATATATGTAGGTCACTTACTAAGTCATAGCAACAATTTTTGTGTAGGGAAATGCATTGTTATACAAACATTTCAAAATGCACATATGAAAAGACACAATGTACTCTACTAATAGTCTGTTAGATAGGCTACTTGGAAAGTATTGTAGACAAGGGAGGAAAAGCAAAAAACAGAACTGCAACTAGTCATTTTATTTATTGCATATGCCTTATAATGTTGATGCACAGTTGCCTGGTTAATACTTGTTTGTGTCACCAACTCCTGCAGAGACCATCTTCTGTTGTCCTCTAAGCATTGGGTAATCACAGCATGAGCAACATTGGTATGAACAGTCATAGGGCATCCAGTACAAGGCATGTTGACAATTGCTACTCTTCCACATATAAAAGCTGCTACCCACCTTACAACAGTTCCGTATGGGAGAGCATACTCACTGACAGCTTCTATGGGGTGTGCATGACATTCCCTCATGCTTTGCCTGCAAAGCACTGCAATTTTTATATACACATGCTGTTCCAGTTGACTCACATCTATACTGAATGACATACAAAAACCAATTAACTTTGCACTCTGCTTCTGTTGATGTTCTGGAACATTCACACCATCTAGTAGTGTCATTGTGCAACATTACATCTCAATGTCATAGCTGTACATTGGAAAATGTAGGTCATGGCATGGAAAAAAAATGTTCCATGACTTAGTAAGTGTCTCATGTATATTGTATATATATATATATATATATATATATTAACTGTTACTATTATACATTAATATTTAGTGTATTTGATTGATGATTACAATGATTAAGCAATTAATGTTAAGATATAATATGCAAACTAACATTAATTATTGTTTATAAGGACTTTATTTTTATTATGCCTAATCTATATATATAAAAATGAATGTGTGTCTGTCCTTCATGCATTACCACACCATTTATCCGATTGCCGTGAAACTTTGGAAAGTTGTTTAATATACTCCCACGAAGGTTTCTGGCATAGTACGATTGCTATGAAGCTTTGGGAAGTTTTTTAATACACTTCATTCCTGGCATAGTACATTTATCCTACAATAGAGTGTATACGAGCATTTCATCGTGAGATCGATGGATTTCAAATTGTGAAGACTATTTCCCCCCTCCAAAAAATATCTATATATATGCATTTGTGAACTATTATTTACGATATTTGTGATAATTTTTGTTTAATCACTTTATTTCAACTATTTTTTGCTAGTTATGTATTCACTTAAACTTTGTTAAAACCTTAACTGTATTTCGAACAACAACCAAAGTTGTAGGAGAAAATTCGCCTATTTTACCAATCTAGGGATCCACTTTTCCAAATTTTAATATCAACTCAAAATAATTTAAAAAGACAAATTACAATAAAACGGTTTATTATCCAACTATCAGAAATTTCACAACATGCCAAGGAAGAGAGGAAGGAGCAATTTAATAATTAAAATTATAAATGATTTAAAAATATATATAAAAATGGGGACTATCACACTTCTGACAATCGCTACAAGTGTGTGGGCTAAATTTGGAGAATCCGTGCTTCTCGCATGGACAATTGTATGTGGCAGGCTCACGCATCGGTAAACCTTCCAATTTATTCGTGTATGCACCAGATGAAAAAACAAAAAATATCGTGTATCCACAAGCACTCCAATAAATAAATAGAATTGAAACGACACTTTGAAATGTTTTCCCGATGAAAATGAATAATAAGTTTCAATAAAAATGATAAAATGTAAATTGAATTTTATCATAATGAGTTTGCTTGAATTTCCTTTCTTCTGAGATCACAGCAACGTGCGACGGGTAAGCTAGTTAGAAATAAATATGTTAGAACTTAGCAAACAAAAACATTTATTGGTCCTATGGGTACAATTTAAACATTTTTTTTAAATTTTAAATTGAACATTCTATTAATTTATAATCATTATTAACTAATAAATAAAGAACCAAACTTGTCTTAAATATGATGATAATATATTTGCCTAATAACAAATGGGAGATTATAATCCTAGTACTATATAATTATTAGCAATTAAATATTAAATTTTAAGTTGTTAGCTTTTAATTTATTTCACTTCACTTACAGTATAAATTCAATCTTAAAGGTGGAAAAACTACTCATATTGGAATTTTAATGAAGAATAAGGTAATTAATAAAATTTTACTTTTCTGTAAAATAAATAGTCATTGAATATTTAGAATAGATTGTTTGAGAAATGTTCTAAAAATAAGGTTTGCTAGGCAGAAACTTTTTCATATTTACAGAAGTTACTTCGTGTAGGAATACAGATGTAATGACGTATTATTAACTGATCTAGTTATACTTTTATCTTAAGTAAGATAGTACTTAAAATTAAGACAGCAAGTAGAAATTCATGATGATTTTAATTTTTATGAGCAAAGAAGTCTCATTTTTGATGAAAGTTATAATTAGTTGATAGACAATTGCATTGATGATCATGTAATGTGAAATATATTCATACATTGTAATGAAATGAAAAAAATTACATATGCAACAACCTAAATTTTATTAAGAAAGAGTTTTTAATTTAATAGGAAAAGATTATAGATTGTATTACACTTTATTATGATATTTATTATAAACATAATACTTTAGTTTATGAAACATGAATACAGTCAACTCACATTAATACAAATCACTAGGGAAACAGTAGTTAGTTTACTTTATTGAAAATTCTTATTGACAATTTTCACGGACAAGGTCAAGGATGTATAATTTAGGGAGTTAACACTTAATAGGCAGTCGAAATCTCTAAATTATATTTTGTATTAATTTTACTAAATAAAGTTAAGTAAAATTTATTTACGATAACAAATTAATGTTCTAAATGATTTTCAAATCAAACTTTGCTATTTAAGTGTGAAGCAGTATATCAGAGTAGTTAAATTAAACAAAACAAAGCTGAAAGAAATCAATGATTTTTTTCTGTTGAAAATTGTTTGAAAACGTAGAAAGTATTAATTGGTGCCAAAAGAGTAAAACAAGGAGCCAAATTTGGCACAAAGTAGCCAAACCTTAGCACTTTCTGATATGCAAATTAGCACATTTGCTTGAGACCACATCCGTTTAAAGGGATGGCATGTTTAAATTTTAACCCATAATTTTTGAGTACAGTAGATTGGTCTGCTAAAACCAGATGTTTGAATTGCTCTACATTTGGAGGTTGAACCCATCTTTGCTTACTAGGAAAAGAAAATCTATTCTACTCAAAATGGAACATTTAATTTACAGTACCATTTTTTATTGTTCACATCAAAAAGTGTAAAAAGCAATCATTATTGGAAATAGGGTTGTAAAGGTAATATACAGTTTGTTTTAATGAATTCTGGTGAAATTTTTGTTAGTTTTATTGCATGAAAATTAACATTGTGAGAATGGTATTTTGCCATGACAATGGCAAAATTTGCTTTATCGATGTTCATTTTAAGGTATTTATTTATTTCTTGTGAATAAATACCATTGATGGTATTTATTTATTTCTTGTGCTAGTAATAGAGTTTATGATTCTCATAAAAATATATTTTTTAATAAAGAGAAGAAGAATAAGTAGTTAAAAAAAGATAAAAAAATAAAATAATATACAAAGCAAAATCATCTTATGTATTTTAATAACCTGATATATTTAGAATATAATAATACCCCAAACTTACGCGATAGGTGGGACTGAGCGATAACCGCGTAAGTCGAATTCGCATAAGTCGGGGTATAATTTTGCAATTTATGTAAAATCCAAGTCAGATGTATGTAAGCTAATAAATGTTCTCGTTAATCTTATCTTGTCTTTTGATTCATTCACAGTTACAAGAAATCACCACATAGAGTCTCTCAAGTCTCCATAGATATAACAAACACAGAAATAAATAACACAAAATAAATTGTAGCTATGCGTCGATTCCACTCGACACATCCGAACATGTGAGCTGAACAATAGTGTGGGGGGAGTGTGTAATCAAGAGTTGCGTGGCGCTCAAACTATAGACAAATCGCGTAACTCCGGGTTCACGTAAGTCGGGGTAGCGTAAGTCAAGGTATTACTGTATATTATACCTGTATATATTTTAGAATAGGGTACCTTAATTTTTTGAACACATTAAATATATTTAAACACTTCTTTCATTGTTGACTTAATTCAAAAGTGTAATTATAAACTTATTACTTTTGAATTAAAGCATGAAGTTATATAACTTATTTCATAATTGCAATTTTCAATTTTTTTAATGTTTTAACAAAAAATTTGATAACATAAATAATTATTAATTTATCAGATATATAAATAATTATTAGTTTTATAAAATAGTAAAATACTTATGGAAGAAGCTATGTCATACTTGCAATCTTACATTATAGATGAGGCTGACTTGATAGCTAGGAAAGGTTAAGAAATGAAAATGATTTATAGAAAATTTATAATTTATGGCTTCATGTTAAAACAAATTGCAAAAATGCTGGAGAAAAATGTTTATGATTTTACTCTTATCTTCAGTTCTTAAACAAACAAGTGTACTTTTCAAAATTTAAAACTTTCTTCCACATGTTCTGATAATAAAATTTAATCAAGTATTAAAACTAAGATAATTGATATAAAATTAATTATTAATGCTATTAAGACTGAAATACATTTACCAATGTGATTTGGATTCCATATTTGCAAAGAATCATATCCTTACTCCAAGAACTAGTGTTTTTTATTTTCAATAAAAATATTAATTATACTGGAATTAAAAAGAATTATACAAAATTACCACCTTTTAAATACTCCAGCAAATAATTTAATATTGTAAGAACGTTTTTGACCATCTTTAATGATCTTCATCAGTTAAACACTAAAGTAAAAAGAACATTAAAGAAATAGAACAAAAATTAAAATTATGAAAATATAAGTGTGCATGCGTTTGTAATGTTGTGCGCTTAGGTGAATAAATACAAAAAAGCTCACAACATTACAAACACATGCGCACTTATTAAATTACAGTAAATTACCACTCCAGCAAATATTAAATTTGCTGGAGTGGTAATTTTGTATAGTTTTTTATTTTACTAACACACCTTTTAGATCATATTTAAAATTCTTAAGATGTCCAGATCATATCATTTCAACAGAAAATTTATGGGATATAGTGGCAATGCTTGTTTCCAGATGTTTTCTAAAGCCTACTCTTTTAAACCAAAACACATCTCATACTTTAGAAATGCTTATATTCTGTATTTTTTTCCAGAAGATATGTCTATCTTAAATCAGAAATTAGATCTTAAAATTTCAGTAAGGACTGCTTTGTATTTATGAAATTTGAATTTTTTACTGAGAAATCTTTTGACTGTATTTGTAAAACATTCAGGAAAATCTAGTTTTAATACTTAATTAAATTTTATTAATTCTGTAATATTTTAAATTTTCATGCAAAGTCTTGTGTAGAATTCTCTGAAGTTTTGTGATCTTAAATACTTACTATGTTATCATTTCTTAATGAAATTAATGAATAAATAATTTCACATATTAATTATCACATTAATTTTCACAGATTAGAATTTAGCAATATAAAATACAAATTAATATTTAATATGTAACGTTTTAATAAAACTATTTGTTAAATTTCTATATCTAACTAATAATTAGAATAAAAATTATCAATATAATTAATGAACAAATTATTATATAGTTTCAAATTATAAATATAAAAATAGTATTTTGTTTGAAAATAAATTATTTTTTCTATTACTAATTCAGGGACATGTTATTGCACTCGATAAATCCTCATCAAAAATACAAAAAGTTATTAAAAATGTGAACCTTTGTAATCTTTCTTGTGTGACAGAATTTGTTTTTGATTCAACTAAAGCTGTTGATAATACTAAGACAGCTGAAGATAGTGAAAATATCAGAAAATCAGGTAAGTTGTTAAATTAATGAAATTTGATGACAGAAAAGTGCAATTTATTATTACTTAACAATTCAGTTATTATCCATATTTTTTAACTCCATTATGTATATTATTAACTAGCTTGTTACATCTCGCTTTGCCTAGGTTTATAAAATACCCATCACAGTAATTGCTACACCAAGTATTATTAATAGTAAATTTTAAAAATGTATGTAGTAAAACCCATTTTAAGAATATCATTAGAATACCTACAAACTGTGTGTGAAGTATGTCCTTGTAAATAGCGAGTTTATAGAAAAATTATTCAAATTAGTTTGGTTTATTTGGTTACAACAACATTAACAATTCCAATTTTAAATTTATGTATTTAGTTTACTGAACTAATGACGATATATTGTTTAGACAAACTAGAGAGTTTCTAATTTCAATTCAAAGTTGTCAGTAAATATGAAAAGTAAAGTAGTTTTTAACATGGTGTTAGAAGCTTAAAATCTTAATTATACAAGGCTTGATTTGGATTTGGAAAGCTGTTGGAGAATACAATCATTAGAATTATTTTGTAAATGTTTTATTATTATTACTGGACAAAGGAAATTAGTCATAAAATAAAAATGANAGTGTTAAAAGGATAAAGATGGACTCAAAAGTTATTTTGACTTTTTGTAAATAGTCCAAACTTCGAAATCTAATTAATAAATATTATTTAAATAATTTAAAGTTTAAAGCTTTGAAATAATATTTCATTTATATGTATTATTATTAAAATAATTAAATGAAAATAAAGTAAATGTTATTAAAAAAATATACCGTATTTACTCACGTATAAGATGATTTCGCATATAGGACGAGGTGTGACTTTAAAGATCAAAATGAAGAAAATTACATATATTAATACAATTCTACTTTTATTTCGTTTAATCACAAATAAAATATCAAATGCACACATTGTCCCACAAAAATTACTGGCATTTTAAATTTTAAGGAAAAATCTTGTAAAATCGACAACATAATTTGTTCATGTAAAGCTGGACAATCGGGAATCTTTTTTTGCCAGTTCTTAATTCTTAACAATCGAATCCACTCTCCATTGATTACACTTATGAGTTTCTCCAAATTCTGATTTTTGAATAATCATCTGTTTTCACATGAGAATGGATTAAAACTTATATCAGGTTCCCATGTGATTTTGGAATTTCAATTTGGAATTCAATTCAAAAGCTTTGCTTTTCCTATTGCTATTCATCTTTACTCCTGACAACATACAAGAACAATTCAAACGACCTATATAAAATACTTTTGTTTTTAATTAAACACCAGAGGGTGAGCATCTGGTAATAAATGTGAATACACGGTTTACCCTTTGCTCATGTGTATAGGACGACCTAGGATTTTGAAGCAGTGAAAAATGAATAAAAACCTCATCTTATATGCAATAAATACAGTATATGATATTTATTGACCAAAATAATTTTAAATTTATTTTTATTTAAATTTTCAAAATATGTTAAAATTTATAACAACTTAAAATTTTTTCACAAATAAATTTTTTTCACTTTAAAAATAATAAATTTAAGTGATTAATTTTGAAACAATATTTTTAATAAATATGAAATTAAATTATTGTTATTAAATATATTTGTTTAGAAAGTATATCACCACCACCTTTTCCAATTGAATTGTTTGATTGTATTCTGCTTGATGCACCATGCAGTGCTTTGGGTCAGCGGCCTCAGTTATCTAACATGATGACACCAAAAGAATTAAATTCATATCCTCCTTTACAGAAAAAGCTTTTTAATGTTGTAAGAAAATATTCACTTTTTCTTATCCAAAATTTTTAAACTTAATAACAATTATTGTAGCTCTTTTTAATATGTAATAACACAAACTTTCAGGGAGAAAAATTATTAAGAAAAGGTGGTGTGCTTGTTTATAGTACATGTACTTTAACAGTTTCTGAAAATGAATCAATTGTGCATTGGGCTTTGGATTCCTTCCCGAATTTATCTCTGGTTTCTCAGGTAATTAATATAGAAATTAGAATATATATTTATAAGTAAAAGAAAATATACTAGAAAATTTTTTTAAGTACTTGAAAAGAAAATTTTAAATATATGTAATTTCCTACTTGCCAATTTTGATTTATAAATGAGGCTGACTTGATAGATAGGAATGGCTGCTTTTGGAATTCAAGGTTTATTACTATAAGTTTAAGAAAAATCCAATTATGTTAGAAGTAGTACAACTAAAAAACATCTATAAAAAATACAGGACTACTAAGGAGATAAGAAGGAGAAGGGTATGACACTTGAAATGCATTTTCTTGTAATTGGTATCAATAAAGTCTAAATTCATTCCTGTAGTCACCATTATTTTCCATATGATAAGTCTGTAAAAAGCAATACTATAAGCTTTGAATTTTTTAAACTAAAATTAAAATGGAACAAGAAGCTAGAATAACATCAGAAATTTAAAGTTTCTTTTGATAGTTTCATATGCTTACAAGAATTTTCATGTTTGGCGATATTAAACTCAAAAAATGTTAATGTTGAGTCATGTTCAATAACTCAGTTGGCTAGAAGATTCTATCAGCAGCTGACTAAATTAGAACACATTTTTGACTGAAGGCTAACTCCTCCAATCCATCAGCAGCTAACAAAATTATTTCGATATATTTTACTTGTCTAACTTGCATCTTGCCTGATCTGCCAACTTTCAGTTCAGACAATGTTAAAAATGCATTTTCTGTTTTTCAGCTAGATACCTAACTCATCTTATTCTATAACAGCATAAGTTCGTTCAGAACAGTCATGCAAGTAAACTTTAGATTTTTAGTACTGGTTGTAAATGAAGACAATGCAATAAAGATGATATGTTATCTCAAAAGGCAGAGAATTCCTAGTTCAGTCTGACAGACTGACACCTGCTTCTAAAGGCAAGTTCTCAGTCCAAAGACAGAGAGGATTAGCTATGTAATTTATAATTGTCCTATTGTTTTGTTATTTTATGAATAATATATTTAAATTGTTTCATACAGAATATTAGAAAAGTCTGACTGTAATATTGCTATCTGTTGATGAATTAGGTTCTACAATCTCAATATTTAAGTTATTTGATCAACATAACTTGATTGTACAATAGTAGCAATTAGTCATTGCAATAATACAAAACAATTATTGATGAATTATTAGTATTTTTTTACACTTTTATGAGTTGCATTAATGAAAAATGAACAAATGATCTAACTGAATAATTTTTGAAAATGGCCATAACTATTTAGAAATTGTATGATAAAAATTTTAGGAAATTTTCTAATACTAATGTTTCAGGTCATAATACTATTTATAATTTAGTAAATAAATTCTGAAAAATGATTTATTAGCAAGATATAATAATTACAAATTTTTAAACTATTCCTTTATATCAAAATATATTAAACTTTTTAATTTTAACAGTTATTCTTTAATCATAACTTTTTCAAAGTGCCATTAATATGAAAGTAAGTTAATAACATCATTTTATTAATTATTAATATGAAAAATTTGAGTTAAAATTACATACAACGAAGTCAATGACACATTACATATGATGTGATATCTGCTATATATTGCAGTTTGATATTTATTTTCTTGTTTAAATATTTTCTAGAATGAGATGTTATGGAATGACATTATGTTTCATTTTGTGGCAGGTTTTATTATATAACTAATTAATGGTCTATAGCAGGTGTAGCCAAACTTTTATCCCTTAGGGGCTACTTTTTTGGTAAAATATGATCTGCGGGCGACTATGAATATGGGCAAACAATTTTAGGATTTTTATATGCGCATGCATTAACATTCATTTGCATTGTTCATCGGGATAAATACAAACAGTATGGGTACGTTGCACAGACAGTCTATTATTGTAAGAATAAATGATCAAATTAAGATTTTTAAACATTAATTTAAGTGAAAGCAAATTGCTGAACTTTAGCTTCGCGGGCTACTTTCAAAACCTGAATGAAAATGTAGTTCACTTCACGCCAGCCAGTTTAGAAATTAAAAATATGACACTTCTGTGTTGCGGCGTTATTGACTGCGGTTTGTTAAATTTCAGACATGCTCGCTAGTACTTCCAACAGTTTACAACCGTCGTCTTCAGGCAAAATCAAATACCTTTGTTTTCGAATTGACATCTTTTAACGGACTTTCCAAATTACGTAATGCACGTGGTTGGAATATAGAACAAATTAATAAAATTGAATAAATAAATATTTTCCCTAAAGAAACCTGCTATAATAACTTGAATTCCCCAAAACATATAAATATTGATTGATGGTGCCGTGCATAGTAATGGAATAAAATTAGAACACAAAATTATAACTTGGATTGTTTAAATAAAGTTATCCATAACTGTGGTATTTCCAATGTCGGCGTATTGCACGGCAAAGTAGCGGATATATAAAGATTTTCCCATATGAATATTTGCCTACGATCATTGCAATGCTTACGTAATTTAACCTGGTTCCAAAGTGGAAGATAATCTTGTTCTAGCACCTTTTTCGCTAATTCTGTAGCTGGTCTATTATTTCTAATGTCTTTTTGATGTTCGAGGATCCGGGACCGTATCATTCTGGTGGTAGCTCCAATATAGATAATTTCCTCCCCTGATACTGTATGTTTTAATAGAATTTTGTAAACCCCCTATTTTTCATTCAACGTGAGAATGTCTCTATCGTTGCACAATGTTCTTCGTAGTGACGGTTGAGGGGTTATAGGTAATATGAAACCATGTTTCCTGAATATGCGTGATATTTTTAGTGAGATGGTGCCCAGGTACGGTATTGGAGGGTTTATTATCTTTAGGCTTTCTTTGTTACAGAGGAAAGATTTTGGAAATAATTTGTTTTTGACCCGGTTGTAGAGATATCAATAACGCCGCCACACGGCGTTATTGATATCTCTACAACCGGGATAGTCATATTTTTAATTTCAGTCATATTTTGTTTCATATTGGAAGTGTCATATTTTTAATTTCAAAACCTTTGTGGTCAACCGATCGACCGCGGTCAATGTGTTGCCCATCCCTGGTCTATAGCATATGTTATATTATTTGATGTCCTGCACTCTTGTCCTGGCCAGGGATATAGAGACTTATAGGTGTTAAGGAATTCTGTTAGTTCAAAATACAGCTACTTCGAAATTAGAAGTGAAAATTCTGTCTGAACTGTGATATGTATATGTTAATTCATTTGTTTAGATCAACGTGCCTCCATACTGTAAGAGAACAATAGACCAAGAACAACTCTAATCTGGCCAATATGGCTTTGCTTTTACAGTAACATTTTTTGGATGTCACCTTACCCATGGACTACCCATTTTTTTCTCATATCTTATAAAGAAAAATATGGCTGGATTTTGGGATTGAAAAATTGGGCTACAAGTAGCAGATTGAGATATTTGAAGAGCTCTAGGCTACTGCATTTGAGCAACTTACTGGGTGTATTCAAAATCTCAGCATAAATCCAGTGAGATGATTCCAAAACTGATGCAACCACTGGCATTTTCAAGTGAACACAAATGCAGACTGCCGGGAATATCAGGAAAGAAAAACAAGAAAAATGGCAAATGATATGGAATTCATTTTTGAACTTATTTAACAAGAACAGCTTAATGAAAAGTGAATATTTTGAAAATAAAAAGAGGGATAAAGATTTTTTAAATTTCTGTAAGAGTTATAAATAACTAAATTAATCCTAAGATTAGACTTTAACAACTAAAACAAATTATGTGATGTGTTACATAAACATATTAGTATATTAAAACCATTCTATTAATGTACTAACCTAATCTTAATTTATTCAGGATATATTCATTAACAAATAAATTAAATTCAAAATTATCAATGCAAACTAGAGCTCTTAAGAGTCTCGTGATGCTGGCATATTGAGCACTGAAAAAGAGGCTTGCAGTTTGCAACTAGGGATTGCAATCCAGCAGTGTTTTCAATCCAGCTGGATTTTTGCTGGATCAATATCATTCCAGCTGGATCCAGCGCGGATCCAGTGCAGATGTATTTTTGGTGCAATAAAGTGTTATCTATCTATCTATCTATCTAGTAATTTATTGTTTTTTTAAAGAAATAAAACATTTTTTTTTAATATTTAAGAAACTTTTAATATTTAGACTGGTCACTATACAGTAAATCAGTAAAACTTCTTACACATTTAGGTAGTAAACTTAATTTTGGTTTGGTTTAACACTTGAGATAGAGATAATTAACTTTAAATGTTTGATTAGATTATAATTATAATGTAATCTTTAAGTTAAATAATAGTAGAGGTAATTCTACTAATTAATTTATATTAATATATTATATTATAATAATGCAAAGACGGATAATCAGTGGCTAAGTGGCTATCAGTCTTACCAGTTTTCTTATATAGGCTCTACATATCAGTCTGTAGTTATTTATAAGTAATTTAATTATTAGTGTTAGTAAAGTAGTGAGTAATTAATTAGTAGTAGTCTAGTAGTTAGTTATTATTATCACAATCATGAATGATATACATTCATATCATCATATATCTAAGATACTGATACTCATTAATTTAATTAACTATTTAACTAACTAGATAGTCTCAGTTTCTCACTAATTTTAACAATAAAATTGCCTAGCCTAGCCCACTAATCACTTATAGAATAAAAGTTTAAAACTCTTACTTAATAGAATTAGAATAGAAGTTATAAAATATTAGTCTTGTCTTGAATAAAGTATTTTAAAGGATTAAATAAAATTAAATCAATCACTTCTGTTATTATTATTTTTTTTTTTACTTTTCTGGAAGTTGGGTCTCAAAAAAACAAATGATATTGATGGTGTTGTCTCCCAACCTACTTCTTAATGAACTGCATATATATCCCGCTGCGGAGAAGGCTCTTTCTGCCTCTATGCTAGTTGGTTCCAGGGTCATCAAATAATCATAAAGATAAGTTTTTACCTTTGACTCTCTCACGTTTATAAACAGCCATTTCCTTTTTTAATAACTTATCATGATCCTTCTCAGTACTAGTTTCTTTTCGTTTCATGAAGTTTTCTTTCTCACACTCTAGTTGGATCTCCGATTCTTATTCCAATGTGAAATTCAGGGAATGAATGCGGTTATCTGGATCATCATTTTCTGTTTCCATAATATCCTCAGTCATTGCTGCTGGTTCCACTACATATGTATTTACTTGATTCAGCATATTTTTCATCTCCTGGCACATTACATTTTTTTCAGTATTGTGAAAGAATAATCGTGCTTTCTAACTTTTTGGTTATAGTTTTTCAGGTTCTGTATGTAAATCAGCATCCCTGTGACCTCAATAAGACGCCATCCTCTGATTCTTTTGCGTCCTGGCTTGTGTCCTGGCTTTTTAGTTTGTCTAAGATAAATTTCAGGGTCGTGTCAGCAGTTATCAAACTCGACTCTCTTCTACAGAGAGCTTTTACGGCCAGTTTATAGGTTAGGTTTCGTGGACAAGCCGCGAGGCTGCAGCTCTCCGTAGGCTTAAACTGAGATCGTTACATCACATGATTCATTGACGTCACAACCGACCATAAATTAGAATTACGCACCAGGACTAGGAGAGGAGTTACTTATTTTATTTAGTGCGAAGACACTTTATTTAGCGAGAGTGAAAAGTCAACTGGCAATTAGATCAGCAGAGGTAAAAGGGCAGGCAGTGCAGTGTAGAGAGGGGTGTAGCATGTGCCACACTGAATGGCAACGTCGCCCTTGCCACTGAGCGATAGCACACGTAGAAACACGGCAACACGACAACACAGACTTTTGCGCCGTTATTTAGAAAGTTAATTGAGTATTTGCGGATCCACATCGCTGGATCCAGCACCTGATGCTGGATCCAGCAGGCCGAAGAATACGCTGGATCCAGCTGGATTGCTGGATGAGGGATCCAGCAATTGCAATCCCTATTTGCAACATGCTGACATAAACTGGAAGTTGCTGGAGATTTTGAATACACTTATTACTTTTTGAGCCTGTTTAAAAATAATTTGGGCTACATTTTGAGGAATTTTGCTTTACTTTTTATAAAATCTATCTGACAACTTGTGAGGTTCTCACTGGGCGCATGCTGTTTACCTGCAGTTTAGTTACATTATTATTATTATTAATTAATGAAAATAGCATTCTGTATATATATAGCTGTGTTCCATTTGCTTAATAAATTA